TTCATGTCACTCGAGATGTGATTTTCTATGAGACTATCTTTCCTTTTCCTTGGAAACAATTTAGTTAACAACTTTTTTATCAGAAACCTTCATGGAGGAAGACTTTTCTAATTCATCTTCTTCGATTTTACTACTTGTCCTAAAGAAACATGCATTTTACCAGTATAAAAACCAACTTCCTCTTTATCTCCTTCTAATTCCTCACCTCTTAAATCCTCATAGCAACCTATAAATCATTATTCACCTCAAAAATCCAGTAGAACATCAAAACCACCAACATGGACCAATGAATTTATCTGTCCAACCTTGCCTAAATCTAATCTTACTTCTTTGACTCAATATCCAATTCAGAATTACATCTCCTATGCTCACCTTTCCTCATCATATCAAAGTTGTTTGTCCAAAATTTATGCCCTTACTGTGTTGGGATTGTGCCTTGAATCTTATATTGATTAGGAATGGGAGTTGCAAGGGGACTCTCCATTTTAAATAGACTAGTAGATTGGGCTTTTTAAGTATCTCAAAAATTGTAAAATAGACACTAAAATAATAGTCATTGTGGGCTGTTATTAAGGGTGTAATTGGACTTTTTGGGATAGTGTAAAGAGTTTGCAATTTTTTTCTTCTAAAAATTGCACAATTGTAAGCTTTTGCTTAATGAATTATTTGAGTGGATAGTGGATGTAGCCTAAATTGATTGGGCCGAACTACTTTAAAATTCTTGTGTTTGGTTTGCTTTATTTTTTTATTTTGTTGCTTGCCATAATTTTGCGTTTGAGTTGTGGGAATCTTTTTCAACAAGTGGTATAAGAGCCCACGGTTCATGATTTAAGAGAAGGCAAGCAAGGAGAAGGTAAGCTCAAGAGGAGGTTGGATTTAAGAGTAGATCAGCGACTGTCAAGCATCTCAAATTTTCTGGAGGTATGTCTAAGTTTGAAGTTCCTTTATTTGATGTTAAAATTAATTTTATGTTATGGAAAAATATGATGCAAGACTTTTTGGTACAACAAGGTCTTGATCAGACATTAAAAGAGAGTAAGTCAGAGAAGATGTCTGATAGAGAATGGAATAAAATTTAGAGGAGAGCTGTTAGTACAATCAGATTGGCCTTAACTCCAGAGATAAAGTACAGCGTGCTGACTGAGTCTACACTAAAGGGTTTGTGGGAAAAATTGGTGGCTATTTATGCGTTGAAATCACTGACTAACAGATTGTGTTTGAAGATGGATTGTATTCTCTGAAGATGGATGAAGGTATGAGTTTCCATGATCATTTAAATGAATTTAATAGGCTAGTATCTCAATTGTTGGCTATTTCTGATGAGTTAAAGGATGAAGAAAATGCATTGATATTGTTGTCATGTTTACCTAAATATTATAGACATTTAGTTCAAACTTTGTTGGTAGGTAGATCTATTTTAAAATTAGATGATGTGACTGCCTTGTTGTGTGAGAATGAAAGGTTTATGGGATCAGAGAACTCATCACTTAGAGGAGATCTACTAGTTGCAGAAGGTTCTAATCGAGGGAGGACTCAAGAGAGAGGTGATAAATCAAAAGTTAGAGATTACAGTAATAAGAAGTCTTATTGTTGTGGAGAGAAGGGACACATCCAACTACATTGCAAGAAATTAAGAGAGGATATGCTTGTTTTCAAGAAGGCTCAACAAATGAAGAATTCAAAGGATGATGCTTGGGTTGCTAATAATGAAGGTGAATTTTTAGTAACATGTCAAGATGAAACTCAAACTTCAAAGGGTGAAAAAGGTTGGGTTTTAGATTTCCTTGCATCTATACATGTTTGTAATGATAAAAATTGTTTTCTTGAATTGAAAGAAGATGAAAATTATGGAAATATTGTTGTCGGTAATAACAAGAAAGTGAAGATTGAAGGTGTTGGTAGCATTCGTCTCATGCTTCACAATGATGTTGTCAAGAAGCTTCGTCATGTGAGGTATCTATAGAGTTGTAGTCACAATTTGATTTCTTTGGGTGAGTTGGCTTCTCGCGGATATACTTACATTGGTCAAAGAGATGGATGCGAAGTGCATAAAGATGATGTTTTGATTTTGCAAGGCAAAAGGAATGAAAAACATTGCTTGATGAAGGTGTGTGTCTTAAGAAATCAAGAGATAAAGTTGTTCAAGTTCCTGTTGTGAAAGAAAAGAAGACTATCAAGCAAGTAAGATTTTTAGATGCTACTGTGATGTTTAGGTATTCAAGTCAATGGAGGAATTATTGGGATTGTGCCTTGAATCCCATATTGCTTAGGAATGGGAGTTGCAAGAGGACTCCCCCCTTTAAATAGACTAGTAGATTGGGTTTTTAAAGTATCTCAAAAAATGTAAAATAGACACTAAAAGAATAGTCATTGTGGGCTGTTATTAAGGATGTAATTGGGCTTTTTGGGATAGTGTAAGGAGTTTGCAATTTTTCTGTTAAATTGATTGGGCCGAACCACTTTAAAATTCTTGTGTTTGGTTTGCTTTTTTTTTTTTTTTTTTTTTTGTTGCTTGCCATAATTTTGCGTTTGAACCTATTACTTTTAACCAAGCATCTAGAGATCCTAATTGGGTGGTTGCTATGCAACAAGAGATTAAAGCTTTAGAAAGAAATAACACTTGGTCTTTAGTTCCTCTGCCCCCTGGTAAGAGTCCAATCGGTTGTAAGTAGATTTATAAGCTTAAGTATAAGGCAAATGATTATTTGGAGAGATGCAAGGCAACATTAGTTGCCAAAGGGTATACTCAACAAGCTAGAATTGACTATGAAGAGACTTTCTCTCCTCTTTACCACATGGATATGGACAATGCTTTTTTGCATGGTGATCTTCAAGAAGACCTTTATATAACTCTTCCTCAAGGATTTTCTAAATAAGATGATAAGTCATTAGTGTGTAAACTACACAAATCATTCTATGGCTTAAAACAAGTTTCAAGGGCCTGGAATTCCAAGCTTACTACTGCCTTGCTATCTAGTGGATTTCAACAGTCTTCCTTAAATCATTCTTTCTTTTTCAAGAAAGTTCACACATATTGTTATTTTACTTGCATATGAGGATGATTTAGTCATTATCGGAAGTGATTCTTCTTTGATATAGAATACTAAAGATCAGTTGCATTCTCATTTTAAGCTCAATGACTTGGGTTCATTACATTATTTTTGGAGTTTTGAGGTTGCTAGATATTCTAAGGGTTTTGGTTTATGCCAAAGAAAATATGCCTTTGAGTTCATTGCTGCCTTAGGATTGTCTGCGGCTAAGCCTACTGTTATTGCTTTGGATCAACATTCGAAATTAACTTCTATAGAGTAAGACAAGTTGTTTTATGGTAATGAAGATCCTACCTTGTTTGATCCTTTTGTGTTTCAAAGGCTTATTGGCAAGTTGCTATATTTGTGTTTAACTGGGCCTGATTTGAGTTAGTTTATGCAACAAAAACAATCTCATCTCACTGCTAGTCTAAAGATTGTTAGATACATTAAAGCTTCTCCTGGTATGGGTTTATTTTTTCTAGCTCATGGTTCTATGCAGTTGTAGGGTTTTTGTGATCAGATTGGGCATCATGTCTTATGACCCGCAAGTCAGTTACATATTATTGTATTTTTCTGGATAATTCACTTATTGCATGGAAATCTAAGAGGCAAGCCATTGTGTCTAAGTCCTCATCTGAAGCTGAGTATAGAGCAATGGCTTCTACAGTTTGTGAGGTTGTCTGGCTCACACAACTTTTGACAGATCTTGGTTTTCCATTGTTGCTTCTTATTCCTCTCTTTTGTGGAAATCAACCTGTCCTCCATATTGTTTCAAATCCCATGTTTCATGAGCGTACGAGGCATATTGATATTGATTGTCACATTGTTATTACTAAACTCAAGGAAGGATTAATCAAGATTTCTCATATCTCCATACATGAGCAGCCTACCAATTTGTTTACCAAGGTTGTTAGCGGTATCCTTCATCAACATCTCTTATGCAAGTTGGGAGTAATTGATACTCATCACCCACCAACTTGAGGTGGGGTATTGGCATATTGCTTATTGTAGTAGTTAATTGGTAATAGTTGTTTTAGTTACTGAAGTGGTTACAGTTGTTACTGTAGCAGTTAAGTTTGTTAAGATAGGTTTAGTTAATTTGTTGGTTTACAGCTATACAACTATGGTAAAAGAATAAACCATGATTATTGTATACAAAACATAAACACTCTTTATTGAATACAATGAGAGTTGTTCTTCTGGAATTCTTCATTCAATATTCCAAAATCTAACAATATATTTTGACATATAATGGTAAGAAAAATAATATGTTTATAAAGTTTGTTTTCCAATTTTTGAGCATCTTAAATAATGTGATATTCGTTCAGATAATGTTAACTTAATACTATCTTATAATTAGTGGGATGTTTTTAATATGCTATATATACATACTAAATTTAAAAACTCTCATATACAAAATGATGTAACATAATAATTGATTGACATATCTTTTTTTTCTCATTTGAGTGTTTATAAAATTGATATTATGTATCTATTCACTATTTTATATGACAAGATTGTATATATTGTATTATATTATTTTAAATTTGTCGGAAATGTTCAATATTATTGTGAAAGCGTAATTCATAAATACTTTGCATCCAGCGTTGTATATAACAAGATCAATATAGATTTTGTATGCTTTATAAATCGACATTATTGTAATTAATGCATGAGAAAACTTTGAATTTAGCTTTTGATTAGATCCATATAGATGAAAAACTTTTTGCCAAAGTTGAGCTAAAATTCGAATTAAGAAGAGGGCTACACTGCACTCTAATGGCACCGAAAATGTGGATGGACATAGTCTGGGCTTTTCATCTGGGCCGGAAAAAGGGTAATACTAAATACACCCCACTCATTTACTAATCACATTAACTTCTTAAAAGATTGAAAATACTCGATTATTATTGGCTGTACAAAATCTCCCCAGGCCCGCGTTAACTATTATCATTTATTTCAATCAGACAACTCCCGCAGAGAAGTTTCCATTTTGAGCATTAGCTTTGCCATTTGCCACCACCACTGCGAGGAGAAGAGGAGAAGAACGTACGACATCCAGATAAACTTAAACCATTACCCAAATACTCACTCTTTAGGTCTTCACTTTCCCCATTGTCTCTCTTCTTCTCGCATTCTCTCATATTTCAGACATCAACCGACCTTTTTTACCAATCGTCTTCGATTCTTCAATTTATCGACGTTTTATCGCGATTATACTGGTAGAAATATTAATTTATAGGTTAAGGTGAGTTTTTATTGTTTGATTTGGAGGAATTGGGCTTTGATTAATTAGGTTACGCGAGGTTATTTGACTAAATACATCGAAGAATGATTTTCATTTTCCTTTTTTGAAATGATTTGAATTGCGTTTTCATGAAATTACATTGTGTATCGTAAATGTACCTTGATTGTTCCTCTGTTAACCCTTACTTTTTGTCTTTTTGTTATATTTCGACCCCGATGTTCTTTACATGCAATTACGTAAGTTTTCTTGAGAAAAGAGAAATAAAATTGCGAAGTAGGTGGCTTACAAGTTAAGCTTGAGTGTATACAGCAGCGGGTTTTTAGTGGCTGTGCCAATCAAGTTCAGGCTGGTATCCTGATAGTTTATTAATGTGATAAGAGGAGTTGATTTTTTCTTTTTGGGCGGGGATGTTTTAAGGTACAGATACAAGGGTAGTTTTTGTCCCAATGGTATGCTCTGTAGGAAGTGGGAGAATGGCAGTAATGGCTAGACTTCTGGAAGTGGGTAGGTTCTCGCCGAATAGAGCAGGTAAGATGAACTCTTTGTTGTTTGTTTATGCTAGTTTGTTCGCTCCTATGAACATCTGTTTACCTATACATTAAAATTCTTGTACCGTTTCTGTTAAAAGAAAAATATTAAGAGACTATGATGAAACTTCATGATATGTGGTTATGGAAACAAAAGAAGAGAAACTGTGGGTCTAATGGTGTTTTGGGTGTTAATTTACACTTTCTACTCTGCGCTTAGTAGTTCAAGGAACACAAAGATTTGGTCCAAATGTACTGGTGGGATAAAGATAAACAAAATTGAACAAAATAATTTCTTTGTTCAATATGTAGAACCTATGGTGTGTTGGAAGTTGAAAGAACTTCCAGAGTACCAAAATTCATTAGATGAACTGCAAATGAATGTAAAGAACGGGGTTTGAGGTTCCTGTGTTTTGTTATGGTGTATTAGTTGTTTTTATTATGTACTTTTACCAGATTTACATGTCTCATCACCCTTGAGCCTTGTTCACAACACGCACACAAAGAGAAAAAAAAAGACTACAGCTTTAACTTTTCTATAACAAATAGTTTTTAACTTCTGACTTTTATGTTTCCTCAGTTGAGTGTCTACTTCATTTGCTTTTGGTTATTGCCTGTAAATGTATGTATAACTAAGAATTCATCATGATGAAATTTATACAAAACATAAAATGTTATATGTCAGAAATTTTGGGGATTTCTATGACATAGCATCTAGTTATCTTTAACTTCTTTAGCAGATTAAATTTGAAGTTTTTGTGGGTAAGTAACACTGAATTGGTTGCTTCACCTTTTTATTGACATTTCTCTGTCCTTGGCAGATGAGGTAACCCATCAGAAATTAGCTGCTCAAAACATTTACAGAGAATTACGTCAGGCAGATGAAGCTAATTTGCTTGATGAAGAAGGTGATTTCTTCATATGTGGACTAATTATTAATTTTTGGGTTGATTCAATTAAAGATTCTTCATATGTGGACTAATTATTAATTTTTGGGTTGATTCAATTAAAGATTCTCCTTTGAAATTATAAGGTACTGTATAGATCCATAGTGTAGTGTTGAATAAAAATGAGATGAAGGTTTTATTGCTGGGTTGGGACATTGTTATTATTGTTTTAAGCCTTTGTATTGTATCATACATCAAGTAGTTGGCTTTTTCCAACAACAAAAAAAAAAAAATAAGAACTTTGAAGTGTAGTCGCTTTCTTGAGAATTTTTTATTAAATATTTTATTTGGCTCGCATTTGGTTTCTTTTAACTGCTTGACAAATGACTTTTCCAGATATGCATGTCTTTGGTTTGAAACCTATGGCTGATTCTTTACATTTGGTAAGTGTTGTCATAATTTAAATTTGTCCTTTTTAATAACTCACTACTGTTTTCATGTTAATTATCTAAGTTTTGTCTTCTTGAATTTTTCCATTCATTTATTTATTTTTATGGATATAATATAAACATTTGAGCTTGGAAGCAGAATATCTGTTCCCATCTGCTTGTAAATAAAGGAGACACAGGCAACATTGCATTAGAAAGTCCTTTTATTTTCACACTGGAGTTTATATGGAAACTCTTCATAAGAGTATTTCTTGCTTTGTTCATTACCTCCTCCCTCTCTCTCTCTATCTCTCGTTTAATTTATTTTTATTTTCTTAAACCTTCAGGAAATTATTGATTTATGTGATCAATTGCAATCTTTGGTTTGGCCACTCATGCTATACATTTGCATTTACATCCAAATGTTGCTTTCACTTTGTTTATCTAATTGTTAACATTATCATGAAGGTATGTTGCAATGCTTGTAAGAAGCCAGTAAAAGCCAGTCAATATGCTGCTCATGCAGGTTTGCTCATGTTTTCTTAAGCTTTTGAACAGTTTGGTATGGTTTCATAATCTGCCGAAACACATCTGAGCTAATAAAAGACATGGTAAATGATTCTCTCATATTTTTTAATGGAAAGACTCAAGATCACAGTGATGTGATTCATTAATAATCTTAGCCTTCGTCATCCTGAGTGTTTTGGCTGCTAACAACACAAACTCGTTAGTATCAGCATTGACTGTATCATGTGAATTGGGAAATCAATTCCATAATTGTCAATTAGGACTTGGTTTCTAACCTAATATATAATAACTGGGAAAGAGCTTTCTTTTACATTTTTCATATGAGTCTCTTGGTCATTGTCCTACTAGGTCGACTTAAGTTATATTCTAAATGCACTTTCCTTCTCCTGGTTATCTGCTGAATTAAAAGCATTTCTATCTCATTTTAATATTCCCTGTTTCTCTGTAAACTGAACTATCACAAATCTTGGTGATCCATAAATAATGCAGGTGATTAGGATCCTGAAGGTGATTTTAACAAAATATATGCTTATTGATGGGAAAATTACTTGCCTGTTTCTGATTGTCTTGATGATTCACTGATTTTTTGTATTGGGGTTCCATGCTAGAACTCTTCCAGTGGAATGATGCTGTTGCTTCACTGAACTGTTTTTGTTTTCTTGATTTTTTCAGAACTTTGTAGGTCATTAAATGCTACAGGGGAACCTATGTTGGATGTTTATAGTGGTACAGGGAATAGGAAACCTCCAAGGAAGGAGAGGAAAAAGTTACTTACAGCTTATGCTAGTATCCTTTTTTCTTTTTTTCACCCTATAAGTATTTCTCTTGCAAGACTCATAGGCCATTTTACACACTGCACTTGTTGTTTAGAAAATTTCCTTTGTGGACCATTTTTTCCCATATTAAAATGATATGTTAACTTAATGTAGCTTAAAAAAATTGGTATGATACCGTCACATTTAGAACTAATCTCTCTCTCTCTCTCTCTCCCCTCCTTAATCTTTGAGTTTTGTATTTCATTCAAATTAAGTTCTTGTATTTTGGTTCTGCACAGATTAATTTTTTACTCAACTATTGGTTGATAATTTGAGAGTTCCTAACCTCTTTTAAACCAAGCTACACCGGTTGTGGAGCAAGAAAGGCCGGAGTCTATAGATGATGATTCTTCGTCTTTGTCCGTGGATGTAAAAAGTAAGTTTCTTGTCGACATGCAGGCATTCACATTGTGTATTTCCTGATGGATCAATGTGAATGTGACTCTGGCGAGTTTTCTCTGTCGTGTTCTTCTTGTAAAATCCTGCTGTGTCAATGCTTTTCCCCAAATAAACCTATATTAGGTCATCAAAGTTTCTATGACTTTTTTTTTTGGGGGGGGGGGGGGGGGTAAAACAGAAACAGTGGGGGGTTTTTGGCTGCAATTGTCACCTGTAGAATTTGATGGTAGCTAAATGTGTCCTCTGTTTCTGGTTGAGCAGATTATGATTTATGATTTATGAAACAAGAAAACAGAATCACTTTTGTGTAAAGGAAGCCAAAGCTTCACTCCTGGGTCGGATAATCGAACAAGTTTCTTCTCTCCTAGATGGTTTATATATACTTTATGTTCTTTGAAGTTGTTAACATCCAAGTTTTTCTTAAACATGATTGGTTTTATTTTCCCACTAATGTACTCATCATGTTGTAAAGCCAAATAGTTTGGACTGCGGCTTTGTTGAGTTTAGTTGAATTATCATCTTCTTTTCTTTTTCCCCATTTCCTTTTCCTTTCTTTTTCTTGATTTTGCTGACATACATGGGAATCCATCAGAGACAAGTGTTCATTTGAAGAAAGTCATAATTGCATTTGAATTTAGCTGATTTATTGTTTTCTACTATTTCCTTAGGAAATTCTGCTAGTGTAGATACAGCTTCTGTGATGGTTGCTTCAAGAGGTAGTCCTGAGATATAGATCACTCAGCCTGTGCGATGCCACCTCCAGCAAAACGCTCAAAAATGTATGCTCATTTCTATGAATTTGATTGTAGTTATATATGCATCTCAAGTACCTGAGAAGTTCTGTTTGGTTCTACCATATATTATGCCTAGTGTTCAATCTTATCCTTCAGTCCTTTTGATACACTATCTCGATATATGTTTATTAATGTACTGTAGCTTAATAAAACCTATTACCTATGTCTTGAATTTTCATTTTCTTTTTACTCGTTAACAAGGTCTGTGACCTCAATTCAGTAGTTTCTTTCAATCCCCTGATTCTTCTGTTAGATGGTGGTGGAGCTATTGAACCTAGACTCAATTTGTTGTCTTTGCTAGCAAAATAATTATTTTTCTGAAAAATTAGATGATAAAAAAAAAAATCTTTACTTAAATTTATGTTTTTGTTTGATTCTTGTAGGATAGCAGAGAGCACCTACCACTAGCGGGTGATCCAGAATCAGTTTATCGCATAACAAAAGTCACAAATGCTCAGGACCCTCATACCTGTAAGTCCAGACAAACTTTGTTATAGTCGTTCTGCTTTTTCTTTTTCAGCAAGGTTTCTCAAGTAACATTCGGATAGATGGTCAAATTTTCTTTCTCAATCAATTTATCATTATCATAATCTCTCAGTCACTTGGTTCTTCTTTTCCTGTGATTTGAGGCTTTTACCGATTTTCTTTGGAGCAATGTTGTGATATTCTTGTAAGTGCTGTACTGATGGGTCCTGAAAATGAAGTCTGAGAACAAACAGCTCATGGGTTATATGTGAGCACATCCCCTTTTTGTTGTGATTGACTAGAAACTTAGGTGTTCTTTCTCTAGGTCTTCCTTTCTTCTTTCTACAAGTCCATCTTGTCTGATCCAATTCCTACCAAAGGTACAATAATTAAGCATTTAAAAAAACTATATCATAATTTTGCTGAGAAAACATGGCCTAATTTATGTGAATCTTGAACTGTTTATTTCTATGATCAACCTCATTCATGTAGCTTTTGGTCACTAGCTATGATGATGCACTGTAATCTTTTGGGTGCCTCTAGTACACTGTTGAAGGCATCATATATGCTCATAATAAGCTTGTTTTCAGGTAAGGATTTTCCAAAACAACAAACCCTAGAAGTGAAATGCCTGATGATAATCTTGTAAAAGCCCTGGACAAGTCCATGAGCAGTGCATGCGGGTGCAAGGTAGTCTTAGAATACCATCAGTTAAGTTTTCATCAATTTCTTATCTATGATAATTTGGGAACTGTCTTGAACCTTCCTTTTTGTAATGCTCTCTTTTCCACAAAATTGGACAATGATTATTGCGATGGAAATAAATCAGATTTTCCAGTTCCTCTTGCCACCAAAATTATTACTCTCAAAGAAACAACCGTCTTAAGTGCACTTACTCATCTCTATCATGAGGCATCAAGTAAGGAACAGGGCAAAGATGTGGTGATCCCGCAAGCTCCGTGTCAAAGCACAGTGTCGTTACAGACTTTACCTCAAGGGGGCTCTTCACAAGAACAAGTGGGTGGCATGCTCAACAAGAAGGTTGACCAGTCCATTTTTAATTGAATGTGAAATTAATGCTGTTGTATGAGACTTACGGTCATGAATGAATGGAGTAGGGTTTTCTTTTATGGTCATTACTTAGATGTTGGAAAACGAATTTGAAGTGTAACTATTGAGCTTCATGCCTAACCTTAAAATTTTTATCCCCCTTTTCTACTCTCATCAGTTCTCACATCCTTCACTTTTTTACAAGGATAAAAAGGTTGTTTGTCTTGCCTGATTTTTAGACATTATTAAGTCAGTACTGACAGACGATCCTAGCATATATATGGCTTGGTTGGTTTTTTTTTTTTTGCACTTACTGGACTGCTGTTACTACAGTACTGATATCTTCATAAACCAGGTGATGTTATTGTAGTAATGCCATCTTTCGGGTTGATCTGTTAAACTTTTGAAAAAAAAGGGAAGAATGCTCTGTGCCTGATGTTCTTTGTGAGACACTACAATCTTGCATGAAACTACTGTATTCTTGTGTCACAATATTATGACAACGCAAGATGTAACAAAATGTATCAGCACAAGATGGCTACATCAGCTCTCATATTTTTGTTAAATGGTCACACTTCTTTTAAGTATCTGTTTATCTCATATATTTCTTACAACCAAGTCTTTTCAATGTGTTTTAGTTTACATGAATTAATTTTTGATGACTGAATGGCTTACTGCTGCTTGTTTCCTTGAAATCAGCTGGAGTCCTCTGTGCAGACACCTGATCAAATTCTTGCACAAAATTCAGAAGTATTATTGGGTAAGTCAGGAGGATGCCTGCCAGCCACCAACTTCTCCAATCAGTTTCAAGTTGATAATGTTATAAGGTCTCAGAACACTTCTGTTGGGTTGGCAAGAAGTAAATATCTCTCGAAGGCTTATCCTTTTGCAGGCAACTCAGGTAGTCTACTAATATGTTTTATTTTTGTCCAAATTTGGGGAGGTCATAAGCTAAATAAAATCGAACTTCAACCGCAACATGGTTTTTACATGATGTCACTGAATATCAATGCAACTATGCTCGTCTATCGATTAGTTAATACATATATATTATTTTAAATTTGAGTTGTTTGCACTTGGATTAATTCTAAGCTAATAAAATGAAATGTTAAGCTCAAGTGCACGGTTGGGTTGAACTACTTACGATGAGCTCTTTAAACTTAGTTAAGTGGCTTGCCGTCTTTCTGAATGAACACTGTGCATTGTATTTACAAGTGTAGTTAACTACAACCTTACCATTTTAATAAATCTTCTACTTTTGTATGACTTTCAACAGTGACAATAATATTGAGTAAAACAAATGATGAATCCCAGTGATATATTGCAGTATTTATTCCTTTTTATCTTGTTTCCTTGCCTTTAAGTTATTGGTTTAAAGTTTCTGAAGAAGTGAAATAAGTGATGCATATGCGTTTTGTCTCTGATTTTGTAGGAAAATTGCTGGGAAACATGCAGCAACCTAATGGTAGTGTACCTGTTGTATAGAAGTCCTGGTAGGATATTTTTTGCTTGGCAAAGGTGTAAGTAGCCCAATATATGAGATTAGGATCCATTTTTGAAATCAAGAAAGCAAATCATTACAAATGTTTATGCTTATTTTCTACGTTATACTCGACATCTTTCATCTGTTTATATTCAAGGGAAATAAAGAAAAGTATCTTTTAATCATATAGTAGTTTTGTGGTTGTTCTTGAATTAGAAAATCCAGACACTTTGAGAGTGTTGGGACAATTAGATTGCATTCAATTTTAGATTTTATTATCTACACTGCCATCAATTTTGGAATTTTTAGTAAGTAGGGTAGATGATGGTTTTAGTTGTGGTTTAGAATTAGTAAGGTATTGCACAGGTTTATGTTCTACATATATGTTTCCTTTCTTCTGTTTGTGTGGGTAAGGGTGCAGTTTAATTGGGTCACTACAGTAAGTTGCTGATAACGTCTACAGTCTGCAGAATTGCCTGTAATTTGAAAAAAAAAAAAAAAAAAAATGGTTCCAGAGCTTACAATTGATTATAAATGATATTTTGGAATGCGCAACTTGTGGGCATTGAAGGGTTTGGTGAGAGTGGGACTTGGTGCTCCAATTCAAGGAGAAATCAAGTATGAGTTTCAGAGGACATGACCCGGTAAGTTGGCACCAGCTAATTGCCAATTATGTAATTAGAAGTGGCATGGACTCAGTAGACTTTGACATCCTCTTTCTTTGCACTAAATGTTTTTGTTGAATTTCCGGCCCATTATATCATTAAATGCAGAAAATGGTGTATTTTTGTTTGAAAAAAAAAATACAAAATCTGCTACCCTTTATGTGGTGGCTTCACTTAATTGGATAGCACCTTGAAGATTTTTGAGTGAAAGGATGGACCCCGTCAACTGAGGACATGTCTTCTTGTTGGGACTTTAGAAATTGTTAGGTTAGTTCTCAATCAGGGCACATCGTGAGAGGATGTGCTGCAGAGTGGTGGAAGTAGAACTAGTGCAATGTCTAGATTTCCGTATTTATTTTTTCAATTGTAACATTGAACACAATCATTTAAAGCAATAGGATAAGAGTAATGGTAAGATGGATGGAGGGAATAGACCCACTTTTAGAGGCGGCTTTTATTATTAATGAAGATGAATTGAGCATTTTGTTCATGTGATAAATAATAATGGGTGTGCGTTTTAGACAGATGTGAAAGAACCAGACATTCACAATGACACATACTGGTCTCGTCTCTATCGACTACTAGGCAGTAGGCACTATTATCAATGATTCCATACCTCACAAAATATCCTTCTTTTTCTAACTCACATTGTGTGTAAAACACTAAAGAAAGGTCAGTTCCTCGTTCCAGGCCCACGTCGAGAAAGTGACCAAGAATCCTATGTTTGTCTTTTGAGTGGCACTTCTTCTCTTCTTGTATAATATTTTATTAGTCTTAGCACTTTATGAATATCACATAAATCTGTTCCCTGTTTCATTCATTTATCTGAAGAATGATTTTCATCTTATTATATAAAAAAATAATAATGAGATGAAACTTAGTAATTGGTGCAGTCAACAGCAGATATGACTTGAATCCGATACTCTATATTTTGTCCACGTTTTTTTTTTCTGTTTTTTTTTTTTAACTTTTTTTTATGATCCCAATATTTTAGGGTCCCTTTTTTTTTTTTTTTTAATTATTTTGAATAAAATTTTAGAAATAATATTGGGTAATTGAATAGGAGAGTATTACGAGGTAAAATTTATAAAAAAAAAACCCCATACGTTTGCTAATTTAACTAAACACTTCAATATATAAAATTTTTATAAAATGACAAAAACACCCCCACCACTCACAGTGTCAGATTCCAGCCACTACCACCGGAATTTGGTCGAAAAATTGTGTAACGACACATACCGGTTGGATTTGGTGGGTATTGCGTCGATATGGCCAGAAAAGGCCAGATCTACGGCCAAATGTGGCGGTTGACGGCCGCAAAAGTCTACGACGGCCAGATCGGTGAATTACTGGCCAGTTTCGGTCGTGGTATAGGCCGTTGTGACAGATTCTAGCTACCACCGATGGTGGTTGTTAGAATCTGGCAAGTATGGGTCGGTGGGGGTGTTTTTGTTAATTTTTAAATTTTTTTGGGGTATTTAATGAAATTAATAAACTTAAAGAGTTTAAAAATAATTAAAAAAAATATAGTAATATTTCTCAAATAATGTGTCAAACAATATTTGGGGAATAGAATTAGGAATATAGGTAGAAATATGTAACCAAACTAACCCTGAGTTAATTTATGCGTATTTTAACTAATTTTTTAATATTTTAAAATTATGGTCAAGTAAAATTTTTAGTAACTATTCCGAAGAGTTTATTTTTCTTTGCTTAGTTACATTATATTTTTGTCTTATATAAAATTCATACATTTATATGAAAACAGAAAAACCTAATTGAACTAGAATTAAATTAGCAATGTAATTGTGGTAATGATGGGTATAAGAAATTAGTGTTGGCAAAGTCGTTGAATTAATTTGAATCGTGCAAATAATGGTGAATGTTTAACACAATGAATTTCTGTGTGAAATAAAAATGTCACCATTCTTCAACGCCCCCATTAAACTATGTATTAAAATAATTAATACATGTTAAACGGACAAAGAAGTTGAGAGATAGATTATGTACCGCAAACTAAGGATCCGGTTAGGGAGGATCTTCGAGGTCTCAGCCCATGGACTGAGACTCTGAGATTCATAATTCATGGAAAAACCTTAAGACAAGGGTACAATTAATTAACTAATTAACATTATTGAAGTTAAGTGGGGTCCACTTTCTTATTCACTATCTCCGTCAAACCCAACGCCGAGGACAAGGACTGAGTTATTATGTTAGGCTTTTTTTTTTTTTTTTTAATAAAATGTTTAAATTAATTTATATATATCTTAACTAATATTTTAGAGTTTTTAAATCGAGGGTAGAGTGAATCTTTTGGATGATCATTCTTATTGATAACTTAATTGGGTTGAGCCATTTAGTAGTCATTGATGTGTACTTACTAGCCCTACCAACCATTTTATTATAAATTATTTATTTTTTATTTATAAAAAAAAAAAAAAGCTTATAATTCAAGTTATTTAAAGGGATTTAATTTATTGAGGCGAAGGGTGTTAGGTATTATTGCTACTGATAATGACAAAGCACATAAATGCTAAACCTATTTTTTTATTATCAATTAAATCCTATTGGATTTTCATCTAAACTCTATACACTAATATTTTTGTGATTCGTTGAATTTATCTCATTAATTAATTATTCCACTTATAGAATTTTTTTTTTTTAAATACAATTGACAAAAAAGAGGGGAAAATATTTTGCAGCTTTGTCGATGAGGACATATTGACTGCTACGGGTTAGATATTATCCAAGTCATCACAAACAATATTTAATTTTTAGATTATTCATAAAAATAAAAAAATAAAAAATAAAATCAACAGAAAAAGTCCATAAATAAAAAAATTCCAAAAAAGGAAAATACAGAAAATAAATAAAACTCTCTGTTCGCTCCTCACTCTTCACTTACACAAAAACAACCACCAGCCAGCCACCCACCAACAGCAAACCTTTCTCTCTTCTCTCAACCCAAAAGAAAAAAGATAAATAATAAATAAAAAAGACAACTTTATTCTGTGACGTGCATGATAATTAAGAATATAATTCAAGAAGCTATGTGGCCGCGGTCGCACCGCGTCGTCAGGGACGGCGTCGACGACGACGCCGACGGTGGTGGCGGTTCCAGCTCCTGCTGCTGGGCCAACCTGCCACAGGAGCTCCTCAGAGAGATTCTCCTTAAGATTGAGGCGTCGGAGAGCGCGTGGCCTCCTCGGAGGAGTGTGGTCGCGTGTGCCGGAGTTTGTACCGGTTGGAGACAGATCACTAAAGAGATTGTTAAAGTCCCTGAACTTTCCGGTTATTTGACTTTCCCCATCTCCGTTAAACAGGTATTGTTATAATTTTGATTATCGTGTTTTTATTTTATTTTTTGTTAGCTTATCATCAAATGCTTTATTTTTATTTCCTGGGTTTTAATTGGTGAATTCAATAAGTTTCGTATTCTTTTGGTTGTTAATTTTATATAAGAATTTTTTCTTTTAATATAAAAAATTTGGTAAATATTTAAGCTTTCTATTGCTATGTTTAGACCTGCTGAAAGTGCAATACAAGAATTTCAATTTCTTTTTTCTGGTTATATGAATTAATACCTCATGCAGATAATTTTTTCTTTCTTTTTTTTTTGGTTGGGTGAGGATTTAAGATTTGTGATGCATAAAAATTGGGCGGTTGAATATCTCAAATAAATTGCTTCGAAATTCTTTATATTGGTGTTTTTAACGTATGTGCCTACCTACATAGTGGAAAGTGGGAACCATGTTTGTTTCAAGGCAGTTCTAATTGAGTTTTAAATCATTTCGTGTCTCAATTGTGAAACTTAGTGGTGATTTACTAAGATTAACTTGGGACCACGCTTTAGATTCCGACAATCTATCAATCATTCTGCGCTTGATGTAGAAACTCTATGGTAAGCTTCTATTTGACAGTAGTGCAAGCGGACCACTTTTAGCTTTATCATGTATGTCCACTTGATCATTAGCTTCTACTTTTAGCGGAGTGTAGTTAGTTCTGTTTCTTGGGGGGTTAAATGCCTATTCTTATTTTAGCTTTAATTGACGTGCAATGTAGTATCCTTGATCAGTGGTTTACTATTTAAAACTGGTTGAGGGTTATGAAACTTTTGATATATTGGCTACTGTTCTGATGATTTTTTGAGTTTGGAGTTTCGTGATCATCTTGTTTTTCCTGCTTGTAGAATATTCTGTCATGCATTTTGAAATTTGTGTGGTTACATTTTGCAGCCTGGACCAAGGGATTTTCTCCTTCAGTGCTTTATAAAACGCAACCGGTCCACCCAAACATATCACCTTTACCTTAGTTTAACGAATGGTGAGCATTTGATGTCTGAAATATTGATCTCTAAGTACTGCAATATGTACATTTTAAGCTTGTAATAAGCTACATGTAGTTGGAATTACTGTCTTTTGGTAAACCTCTTTTAAAAAATAAATAATAAATAAATAAAAAAGGCAAAGACAAGATTTGGGTATGTCCTGGGATATCTATTTTTGTTGGATCGTTCTTCT